TGGGTAGAAAAGGTTAGAAATGAAGAGGTATTGGAAAGAATAGGAGAACAGAGGACTCTATGGAAGTCAATAAAAAATAGGCGAGATAGGTTGGTAGGACACCTTCTCAGGCATGAAGGTCTAGTCAGAGACATATTAGAAGCAGAAACGGGAGTTAGGTGGGGTAGAGGTAGACCTAGACTGGATTACTGTTCGCAAGTAGTTAAGGATGTGGGATGTTCTAGTTTTAGGAAAGTGCGAAGATTAGCTTAGGATAGGAAAGAGTGCAGGTGCGTCTCCAACCAGTCCTAGGACTGCCGACCTTATGATGATGAGTTTCCGGGCTTCCAAAAAAGGAAAATCAAGAGGAATTGAACCGAACGTAACCTAACTGAACTTCATAAGCTTAAGTTGCTTTAGGTTAGGTTTGGTTCAACTAATTTTGACTACCAAACATACAAATTGCTTATACTCTTCGAGACTTTACAAGGATTTTCTTTGGGTTTCATCTTGACGAGTTTTATTATTCTAGGAAAACCCTAACAGAAACACCTTGCGGTGGTGGAAATGCCTTACCTCGTTGAAGGTTACTGCATACATTAAAACGACGAATATACCGGAAAACTGTTGAAGTGTTAATAACCCCAACATTATTAGAAAGGGTTTGTAGCCAGTCGGTTTGAAGAATTCGTGAATAAATATCTTAAAGTTTCCCCTGTTTTTCTCAGCGTGCTCTTGCTTCCTATCGTTCTTGGTCTTCACGAGATGCTCTAGTTGATTTTCGGCTACACTTTGACCCTGTTTTGAAAACTACAATTAGACACAATGCCTCTGTGTACGTTTCTAATTTTGTATAATCGAAAACGAAAAAGTTTATTAGCTGAATACGATAACGAGTTTGGTCGAAGACGTCATTGTCGTATATTTTTTAATTGACATAATGGATTTGAAATACAAAACTGTTGAGAGTGAGTACTAATAGTAATTTACGATTTATGCGGTTTTTGAACCTTCATTAAAAAAAAAAAAGTTCAACTTTTAATAAGGCAGACGATGACTTTACAATTAAACAAATAATAAGCAGTGATTATTATTTGTTATACTTACATTTTCTAAAGGATAATATTTGTAGTACCATTCCAATGATTTCTTGGCTTTCCCGATTTTTCCTCGCTGCACTAACCAAGGAGGGCTCTCAGGGATCGCCAGGAGGGTTAGGCCTGCTGCCAGGGGGATGATATTGGCCAGCCAGGCACACGTTCGCCAAGGCAAAATCCATCCGAATATATAAGATAGCGCCATCCCTGTAAACAAATACATTACCCCGATTGTCTTTTCCCTGGTCGGTTTCAAAATGTTTACCTAGAGTTGCAAAGGAAGCCCCTAACGACACAAGCGAACCCCTCAATGTGGGGCAGCTTATTTCCGTTATAAACACCAGAGCAGGGTTGGTACCCCAAGCTAAAAATCATTACTGTCAATAATAGTTTAACTTAAAGAAGTTATAGTCAAACTACCTGCTCCGACTCCAGCTAACATTCTGCCAACTATTATCATGGTTACGTTGTTGGCCGTAGCTACAAGAACCCATCCAATACATAATGGTATTACTGTTAATTTTATGGTGTTCAGACGTCCCAGTCGTTCCATTATGAAACCACCCGTTAAATTGCCAATGGGCATTGTTAACATTAACACACTTGCTAAAATGTTACACTACATGTTAGAATTAGAAAAAGATTGTTAAAGGTGTATGTTTGGAGCAGGGTTCCTTGCGGGTGCGAAACGTGAATGACAGGCGCGACGAAAAAGAAAAGGTTACAGGCGAATGATGAGGTTACCGTGGATAGAGAGGTTTAGAAATGAAGAGGTATTAGAAAGAGAAAGAGAGCAGAAGACGCTATGGAAATCAATAAGAAATAGGCGAGATAGGTTGGTAGGAAGCAGAATAGGAGTTAAAAGAGGTCGAGGTAGACCTTGATTAGATTATTGATCACAAATAGTTAGGGATGTGGGATGTTCTAGTTTTTAAGAAAATGCAAAGATTCTCTCATAATAGGAAAGAGTGGAGGTGCGTGTCCAACCAGTCTTAAGACTGACGACCTTATGATGACCATGAAGCTAAACGAATGTGAGGGTAATTTAAGGGTGTAATCAGGCGATTATTTGATTGGAGTAAAATGAATTATATTTTTTTTATTAGATTAACTTTTGCGGTAGAATATGTTTTTGGTTATATTATTTATAATTCGGATTAGTTACCTATCCAGGTTATTTCACTAGTTGTTGCCCTAAGGTCACTGTCTTTACTTTGAAGTTGCGCAATCAAAACAGCCGAGAATGTCATCGTCATTCCTACAGAGAGGTGCATCATGGCCGACAGAACTGCTGCTAAAGCCTAAAGTAAAATACAACAAAAATTGCTTTTTTTATTGACGTCGTTATGCAATCCGAATTTATACTTCATTTACTTTCTCTAGCGACGTGCCCCTTCCAATGTCTTGGATGCGCGCTGGCAAAATCGTAGGTAGGGAGAAAAAAGCTCATTACACTCTCGACTCTTGTTCATTAAACACACTTTTTCATACAGTACCTGCCAAAAGTTTTGTTCAATCATGAATAGTAGTGCGAGTCGAAAACAAGCGTCAAAGCCTTCATGTCTTCAAATATAAATAAACATCTCGTTGATATTTTCAGCAGTAATTGTTACCAATAACAGCACATTTGAGCAATGCAATTTTAGTGGATAAAATGGTCAATTTTTCCGTGCAGTACTGTACGGATTATACGCTCCTCACCGGTTAAGAGTTTGGCCGAGAGTTGTCTCCTTTCTTTTCTGCCCTAGTGCCGTTCTTTTCTACTTTGCGCCGGTCAAACTGAAGGTCACATCGCTAGAGAAACTAAACGAAGTACAACTTGTTGAATAATTTGTCTATTTACTGCATCTATCATCATTAAAATGTGCAGAAAATGTAGGTGGTTGTAAGATGTACGGGGTGTTTCTAAAGTGAACTAGTTTGCTTGATTAAAATCAGAGGAGAAAGCAATTTTGTGCTTATTTTTACGACTTTCACCTTGAAAAACAGCGATAACCGAAAAAGTCAAAATTTCGCAATGAAAGATAAGGATAACAGATTTGCAATTGCAAGGTTACAAACGGAGCATATGCTATCGTAAATATAACTGTAACTTTCATTTTTCTTAACTGTTGCGATAAGGCTTGCCAAAACAAGAACCACTCTCGCAAGACAAGATCAAGGCCTTTAGAAAACAATAACAACACTAAAATTAAGCGTGCTGGACTAAGCCCAAGGTCAAAACTACGAATACTAATATTGTCTTCATCTTGCGTTTGTTACACACTAGCTGATGCAAGCGATACTAGAGATTTCTATTATCATCAGCTATCAATTACTAATATAACCTTCTGGTTGCAATTATTAAAAGTTATTCGAATTGATCAATCATTGTTTTAAACTTTAATACCTAATTGCTCAATTTTTACGTATACATACATAAGTAGGTAAAGACAGCACTTACCTGGGGAAAATATTTTTTCACAGAACGTGTTTCATTATATTCTGGTGAAGAATTAATATTAAACTTTCCATTCTTTTGGTCGTTTATTATATTTTTGTCTTCTTCTGGACTGAAATGGACGAACCAGAATTAATTTATTTTTGATAAAAAAAAAAGAAATTACTCACTTGAGATACAAACAGCTACCCCTATAAAAAGAAAAAATAAGGATTAGAGGTTTAATGATTCTTTTCTTTTTTGTAAGAGGAAAACTCACCCGATTTCCATTATTTGTTTTTTCGTGTGGAAGCTCTTTTTGAGACCTGTAACATCAGAAAGACATTCCAATTGTAACTATATATTATAACTAATAATAAAATTTATAAACCATTTTTTTATCTTATCGTTAGCCAATTATGTCTACCGTCTATGTAAACCATCGCCATACAGCTCGAACATTTTTATGGATTATAACGTATGTCACATAAATTTTGGTCAAAAAGTTAGAATTCTGTGAAATAAGTATGACGTAATTTATTTAAAGTATAACTTTATCAACTTTTCACCTAACAGTTAATTAAATACGCATTTAAAATAATGACAAAGGACCATTGTTTTCAAATGATACGCAGTTTTCGCATAATTTGGCCCATTATAATTCGGACGATATGTTATCAATTTCCTTTACTTCTTGATATATTTTACGCCTTAGTTTTTCTTCATTCGTAGCTTCCTATCCATTATCTTACAGTTTTCACCTTTACAGTCTTCAAAAATCTTCAATTCTAACCAAATTCTAGTGGTTTTTGGATAATGGCATAATGCTAAATCTAGCCACAACGTTATTTGATTACGGGGAAGACTTCTTCTCAATAGTCCCCACAAATCCTAGGTTTTTGGTACAAAAAAAATGCTATTGACTTCTAACCAAGTTCTAGTGGTTTTTGGATAATGGCATGACGCTAAGTCTAACCACAACGTCATTTGATTATGGGAAAGACTTCTTCTCAATAGTCCCCACAAATCCTCGGTTTTTGGCATAAAAAAATGCTATTAGCTTCTAACCAAGTTCTAGTGGTTTTTGGATAATGGCATGACGCTAAGTCTAACCACAACGTTATTTGATTACGGGGAAGACTTGTTCTCAATAGTCCCCACAAATCCTCGGTTTTTGGCATAAAAGATACGTTATTAACTTCTAACCAAGTTCTAGTAGTTCTTGAATAATGGCAAGATGCTAAGTCTGATCACAACGTCATTTGATCACGGGGAAGACTTATTCTTCTCAATAATCTCTACAAATCCTTGGTTTTTGGCACAAAAGGTATGTTGTTAGCTTCTGACCAAGTAGTTCTTGTATAATGGCAAGATGCCAAGTCTAGTCAAAACATGGAAGACTAGGAATAATCAATTCGAGCAATTCCAGTAAACAAATGTTGGCACAATTATAATTGCTCTAGGCTTCACTGAAAAGACTCCACCTTTTGAAATAGCACCTCAAACTATCGGTTTTTGTTTTGTGTTTAACATTATCTGAACAATTTTCTTTGTCGATGTAAAAATTATCCTTATCTCTCAATTGCAAATGAGCGAATGCACAATATCATTGTTCAATAAGATTGTGAATGTTTTTTGGGATTTTTACAACACAACAGTATCTATAATAACGAGCATTTGTTTATCGCGGTAGGTAACTAGATTGAATGTCCTTTAAATGCATACAATTATTTCAAAGCCAACTAAAATTTTCTCGAAACTTATGTGACATACGTTATTACGATACATAGACATTCATATAACATCCCATGCGGTAGCATATCGTCATCAATCATTTGGTAAAAGTAAATAAAGAGAATCGTTTTTTTCTGATAACAATACCATTTACGTATTATTTATTGCAAAGTGACATGGCAATTTATTTAAGTACACACGGACAAAGCACGCACCGATTGTGGCATTTTGCGAAAGGTCTAGGTCAATGTCGCTGCAATTTTTTTATTAACTTTGCGTGTAGCATCAAATTTATTGTTATTGTTGTTGTTATTATTATTACCGTTGAAAGACAAACGTCAAAAAAAAGTAATAAAACGTAGCAAGCCGTGTCTCGTGGCTAATCTAATTCAAAAATTGGGACACCCTTGGAAACGCATCACAACTAGTTAACCCAAATGGACAATGCATACAAATGGTGTAATTTATTATTCAATTGATAATAACATTTTCTAAAATTATTTGTTTGCCATTAGGAACGGAATTTAAATTAAAACAGAAAACAAAACGATTCAGGAATTACAAAGAAAACTCGTGCAGGTTTCACTGAACTTAATGAGAAGTATTTATTATTTATTTATTTATTAATTAATTGATCAGTTTATAGAAGCTTACAGAGACATAAAAATACCTGTGCGCATGATAGTGGTATCTTTGACCAATGGGCCATTTTCAAAGAAAGTTTCTTTTGACTAAGGGGTAGATCGGGGATAGTTTTTCTAGGCTTAAGTTTGTTTTATCTAGTCAGTCATCAAGTTTCCTTTTCTTTTCTTTTTGTACTTTTGTACTAAAATACTGGTATGCAAGGGAAGAAAAAGTAGGGAAAGAGCGAATCTAAAGATAGGAGACGAAAAATTAGAAGAAGTGACTGATTTTAGATACCTAGGAAGTCAGGATGGAAGGAGTAGTACGGATATAAAACAGAGGATAGCGCAGGGTCGTGTCGCCTTTATTAAAAAGAAGTCGCTTCTATGTTCGCGAACGGTTAATTTAGAAATTCGAAAAAGGTTGTTAAAGGTGTATGTTTGGAGCACGGCGTTGTACGAGTGCGAAATATGGACAGTGGGCGCGGCGGAAAAGAAAAGGTTAGAAGCGTTCGAAATGTGGGGTTATAGGCGGATGATAAGGATAACGTGGGTAGAAAAGGTTAGAAATGAGGAGGTATTAGAAAGAATAGAGAACAGAGGATTCTATGGAAGTCAATAAAAAATAGGCGAGATAGGTTGGTAGGACACCTTCTAAGGCATCAAGGTATAGTCAGAGACATATTAGAGGCAGAAACAGGAGTTAGGAGGGGTAGAGGTAGACCTAGATTAGATTACTGTTCGTAAATAGTTAAGGATGTGGGCTGTTCTAGTTTTAGGGNTAATTTGTATATGAAACACTACGTTTCTCTTTATTGTTCGAAATTTCTAATTGCAAGAATCACGATGTACCCAATACATGAATTTGGTAAACGATACCATTCTTTTTAATTTTAAAAATAATAAAAATTTGAATGCGGCAAGGAATGAGAGACGAGAATTAACATTTCTAACGTAATATGCAAATCTCAATAGCTGCTCCAAGCGATTCATATAAGGGGTGCATAATTTCGAAATTAGTGGGTGTCTTAAAGGAACATATTCTGAATTTTTGAAGTGTCCTTCTATATGATGAATGCTGTAACATTCTTACATTAAATGTACTTACTGTCACATGTAAGTAAGCAACTGTTAGTTTTTGGTACAACGATGAATAAATATTATTATAGGTATATGTAATTATTAAGTAATGTTAAGAGATGTGTATGTCTTGTTGCTAGTTTTTAGTATTTTACTTTTGTGTTCTTTTCTAAAAGAGGGTAGTTTTTGTGGTAGTTAAGTAGAATGGTTAGCAGCGTACATACAACGAACAGAGTTCGTGACGGATAGTCAGCGCGGTCGGACGTCTGAATCATTAGCAATATATATAGTAATAGTTTATCAATTAGAAGGAATATTTTTTAACCACACCACAATTATTAAAGTTCATAAACAATTCCTTTGTGCTTTTGTCGCTTCTTCAATTATCTGCCAACAGCAACCCAACACACATAGTGACAGAGAAGATTAGATTTTATAAACGTCATATTCTGGAGCATTCTAGAACATGGCCAGCCCTTACAAATAGTTGTTGCAAGGTCGGAAGAGTTAGTACGGCACCGAGTTCGAGTCGATACAAAGCAAAGTAGAGAGAGCGCGGAAAAGAAAAGGTTAGAAGCGTTCGAAATGTGGTGATACAGGTGAATGATGAGGATACCGTGGATAGAGAAGGTTAGAAATGAAGAGATATTAGAAGGAATAGGAGAACAGAGGACTTTATGGAAGTTAATAAGAAATAAGCGAGATAGGTTGGTAGGCCACCTTCTAAGGCATGAAGGCCTACTTAGAGACATATTAGAGGCAGAAACGGAAGTTAAGAAGGGTAGAGGAAGACATAGATTAGATTACTGTTCACAAATAGTTTAGGATATGGGTTGTTCTAGTTTTAGGCAAATGCGAAGATTAGCTCAGGATAGGAAAGAGTGGAGGTGCGTGTCTAACCAGTCTTAGGACTGACGACCTTATGATGATGGTGACTAATTTTAAGTAAGATAAGTTAAGCCTCTTTTTCAGATGCATGTGTTAAGGAAGACATCAAACAAGAGACAGAAGACAAAGCAATAAATTTCTAAAGTCCAGTAATTTCTCTGATGAATATCCAATTTGTATTTTCCTTTTACATCCTCATCTTTCACATATTCTTTATTTACTAAACGTACAGAGGCATCGACTATTTAAAATTTTTCACTGCAATTTATTCATTAGATCTCAATTGAGATCGTGAGCAAACTAAAATGCCTGCATGGTTGTTAGGTATTACAGGGGTTGAAGATGCTCGAAATACAGTATTTTCCACCCCATATGCAATGTTAACGACTGTACTCATCAACGACGATTTATGATAATCCAAGTTGCAACGAGCAGAAGGTGGGTATTGACCACTGTCTATCGATCGATCAGGTAGTCTGGACCGCTCATATACTTTAGACGTTCAAATTTGGTATAGTTCGCAATAAAACTGTCACATTTACTTTCTTCTTTCAACTTATTAACTAGACTAAGGACGGCTGCTGTCAGAACGCCTACTTTTACTCACGACAAACGTTGTAGGGAATATCGTCAACATCGAAAAGAGATGTCAGGTAGGAATTGCAGCGGACGCTAATAAATAAAAAGGAATAACATTACACCAATTGATTGTTGACAGGCTTCAACATTCTCAGGAATTTAGGAAAGCAAAGACGTTTGTTTAAAGATTTAATTCCAAAAAAAGCAACCTCTAACCGGTGCACCGCTTACTATTATTCGGTTATCTCTTTTCACTTTGTCTGTATAGCAGTACAAAGCATTTCCTAACTTAATAGAGGCGTGTTCAAAACGCTGCAAATGACTACAGTCCCATGTAGAAACAAGAGAGAAGATACGTCCATTCTCACAGATAATTTATTGCAGACTTTGCCAATTTTGATTGTCCCAAGTATACCTAAAAGTCTGTACGGAACCCTCGGCGCGTGAGTCCGACTTTTCTAGAAAATGACAACGTGTGATGCCTGATGATGTTTGTTTTGTTTTGTTTTTTTTTTTTAATGTAGTCGGATTAAAAATACACTCGTAATATGTGATCCTGACCTAAATTCGAAAATGTGTCTTGTAATACAAATGGGTTAGTTGCTGTACCTCAAAGTGCCATTGCCAAATTGGACTACAGAAATGAATATTTACGAGCGTGTTTGTGACTCATTGTCAGAGAAAATTATAGCACAGTAGGTACTACAGTACTATTTACATATGTTGTACTCATATAAATATCGTCACACATGTACAAATGTACAAAATATGCACCTGTACATTTGTATATGATTTTGTGCATACTGAAGTAAATCGTAGGTGGTAATTATTTTAATCAAAAAGGGTAATTAAGTACTATATAATAATATAATGTTAAGGATGTTTGGGAGGTACAATCGGAGACAAGAGTACATAAAATTAGAAATTCGTGATTAATTAGGTTTTGCAGCATATCATGAGGTAAATAAATACTATCTATACCAAAAAAAAAGTATACGGTTTGAGAGAAAATTTGGAATTTAACCAAAAACTTTGAATAAAATAAGAAATAACGAACAATACGGAAAATTTTTATCTGACTTTTGGCAGTGAATATGCCTTGTTTTCAACTTAGAAACAAAAAAATATTTAGTTTCAATCTCTATTAATAATGAGCGTAAAACTTTTTAATATGTTTAAATAATAATTAAAACTTTAAAATTGCATTTATTTCAGACAATTATAAATATTATCATTATATTATCAAGTAAAAACGAGATTTTCAGCTAATTTTTCATTTTTTCCTCGATAACCATTTAGTGAATTTGAATAACCTTACGCTAAAGTGATTCTCCAGAGTTCAAGTTACTTATTATAAAAGTTTGAAATTTCTGGTAGCTTTTTTTCTGTTAATAAAAATAAATTTAATCTGTTCGGTTAACGAATCTCCATAAAATGACGTGTAAAATTACAATTTTTTAAAATTTCAATAACTTTTTAACGGTTTAGTGAATCGATTTGTAATTTTTACAGGAGTTTTAGAATTGAATGAGGAACGTTATTCCAAATTTTTATTTGTCTCGTAGCATTTTGACATACCTTCCAAACATCCTTAAGTTTATGTAATTTTTTATGGTTAAGGATTAATGTTTGGTTTTCACTCCTAGAGTAACTTTTCTTTTCATTAATAATTACTGTCAGCACCTTCAAGTGAATTCCTCATCATCAGGTTAACTTCGAATCTGTTTTAATACGACCCTATACATTCAGATTTCCCGAACTCAATTTTCCTAAATGCAATCAGTTATTAGAGTGTTCCTGTTAAACGTTTTAGGTTTTATTCCCAATTTCTTCCCCTTGGTTTGATTACAAGTGGAAAGAATCAGAACCAATAAGGGTTGTAAGGTTTTTATTTTTAGTGTAGTTGTGAAGCTTTATTACAGGGTGGGCTTAGGGTTTCTTTTGAACATTATTGTTGATAACACCACCGCTAATAACCCTTATAATCTCATAATCCTAAACGAGTTACAGAAGTTCGACTGTATACGCACAGTTATGAACTTTGACACTTAAGTCATTTCCGTGTTGTACTTATTAATATCAAAATTATTTATAGGAATTAATTAATATGCAACAATATTTCTATTAATGAATCAGATGAAATATTTAATTTTCTTTATTTTGAGACGATGTCGATCATGGACTATGACACCGATTTATAGTAGGTATAAAAGTAAAGTAATTTAATAATAATGAATAAAATCGTCTGTGGACGATTTAAATAATTTGTTATTGTTTTTGTTTATTTATTTAACCTTACAACATATTAAAATACTAATACTTGGGTATGAACTTAATAATAATAATGTAATTGTTGGCCGTGTCCTTTTTATTTATTTAAATAATGGTGCATATTGAGGAGGGCAATGAGTTTGACTCGTGTGTAGAAACACGTACCCATTAGTAGGGACTTAAAATGGTAACCTTCATGGGCTTTTATATCGCGTTTTTTTCAAATAGGCTGCCTTATTTTTCAGGACGGAAGTGGTAATGATATAATTTGATTTCAGTTAGGTTAGGTTGGGTTCAACGACTGGACATGCACATTACTGTAACAACTACGGTATTGCAATTATTTCTAATTAATCGATTTAATGGTCGATTTTAATAATATGATGTCGTTTTTGAAATGTGTAACTGAATTTTACATAAAATGAAGAAAGTTACTTGTGATTTTTTAAAAATCCCTGTTTCTAAATTATCATAAATTATAAATGTATCTATAATAAGATAATATACATATATAAATTAGTATATTATATTGGATCAATTCGATGGGCTTTAATTTTCTATTGTTTTGATCACATAACATGCCATTATTTAGTTTTTTGATTCCTACAAAAGTCCCCACT